AGATATTTGTCATCCCAGTACTAATTGGGCTTCTGTTTGAGCTTTTGGTAATTGTGCCAATGAGAGTTCCAGTGGATGAAAGTCCAGTATTCCTCCTTTATCAAGACTGGGCATTAGGCCTTATATTTCTCAAGATATGGACTAGATTGGTGAGTTTTGTTTCCTTTAGTATTTGCACTTCCTGATTGGCTTTAACTTTATGGACAACTTTTATCAGTTTATTTAAATACTTAAAAGATATATAAATAAATTATTGCTGATTTGATTTGGGAAACCACTTTTTTGCTTTAAAAAAACTGTTTTTTTGCTCTACTCTAGTACTGCATTGGTATCAATAAAACAATTTCTTGATAGTATCAAATTTCTGGAAAAAAAATTTTTACCTCATTGATCCATGTCACAGATTCACCAAAATTTATGTTAGTTGCCAATTACCTGCTTGGGATGGATTGTATAAATATTGGCGTCAAATCAGTAAATAAGCAGTATATAATCCCTATGGCATGTTTAATCCGTGTGACTCTCCATTTGATGTGATAAAAGCTTGGTTGTTGTAATCTATATTTTTTTCCTTTTGCCTTGTATGGTACGTTGATGTTCCTTCCTTTTTCTAGTAGGATGTTTCTCTCTATCTCTTGTAAGATTGAAGGGTATTGTGAATTTTTTGGGTTGATCAAATTGGCAAGGGTTGATAAATACCGAATTATGAATGAATGACTATAATTGGATCTAAATGAATTTTATTAGAGGGGTTTGTCTCAGTGAGTTTACTGCTTGGATTCTTGGAATTATAATCAGACTGAGGTGAGGTGAGGTGTTTTGCTTGCAGATTAGTTGTTGAATTAATATAATCATATAACATTTATGATAATAAATAAATAATTAATATATTATGTTTATGTTTATGCTAATTTATCATTTTATATCTTTAGTTTTAAAAGCTATAAAACTAAAATATATTTATTTAAAATAGAAATGTTGTTTTTCCCTCCAAAACTCCCTTCAGAAACAATGCCTTAGTTTCTTTACTATCTACTCGTTTCATACCCAACTTGTGAATTGTAATCTTTGTTTCATGCCCAACTAATAATTTTGCCTTATATACCACCCTTTTTCTGTTTTGGTCTCCCCTTCCCCATGTCTGTCAACTTTATTGGGCACGTCCCCATTTTCAATTAACCTGTCACCCTTAGATTTGTTATATAATTGAGTTGACTCTGTCTATCTACTACTTTTCTAGTGTTGACTTGGTTCTTTGATTAGGTTATGTTGGACCACATGATGCCTCTCGTAGATGAAAGTTGGCGAGTAAAATTTGAGAGGGTGAGAGAGGATGGTTTCTCCAGGCTGCAAGGTCTTTGGGTCCTTCGGGAGATCGTACTTCCAATCATAATGAAACTATTGACAGCACTGTGTGTCCCTTACGTTTTGGCCAGAGGGGTGTTTCCAGTTTTTGGGTACCCCTTGGTGGTCAATTCTGCTGTCTATCGGTTTGCATGGCTGGGATGCCTCTGTTTCAGTTTCTTGTGCTTCTGTGCCAAGAGATTTCATGTCTGGTTCACAAATCTCCACAATTCAATACGTGACGACCGGTATCTGATTGGCCGGAGGTTGCATAACTACGGAGAACATGTTGAGAAGGCAAATGAAGCAGGAACTTCTACAGGGATGCAGGATACTATTTTACTAGGTACAGGTTTAAACGAACAAGATCGTGAAGCAGATGTTGGACTCCGGTTGAGGCGCGTAAATCAACAGGCGGGTTGAGGTACATTTCAGGTAGTAAGGAAACTGTAGGTTGTCAAGCCTTGGCCTGACGTGATTCATGAATCACTCTTGTATACTCTATGCCTCTTTGTTGGATAGTTATCAACGTTTACAGTTTGTGCGTGTTACGTGTTTAAATTTAGCTATAAGGAGGATAATAAAAATGTAGAGCAATTTTTTTTTCAAAGAAAAATTCTTTGCGAAATAGTGGTTCATGAAGCGCCTGGTTCCAGGGCCTGCTATTTTCTGTCTAAGAAATACTTAATCACATAATTGGTTATAATAGTTAATTGTTAATTAGTGGACTTACATGCATTAAGTTTTTACTGTTAAGTAGTCTTCAGAATGTAATTTCTTGCACTAGGCGGGAGTATTCGCAGATAATGAGAATTGACCAAGCCAGTACAATCTATTGTTCGAGCTCCACCGCCAACTCCCGGATGAACCAATAAGGTCTTGGGGTTATAGTTTGTTTCGTTCAATTGGTTAAATTTATGCTTTGATTGGTTGAACTGCTTAAATATCTGGTTGAATTTGGATCGGAATAATCTTCGAACCGAGAACCCAGCCAGGTTACGTCTTAATCTGCTAGGTCTGTTGATGTTCAATTTTTAGTACTTGGCGTGGATGGTTCCAAACAGACTCGCCGCAGTAGTGCGATTTCATCCGTTAATTATTTAAATAAATTTAAAGGATATTTTATATTGTCATTTTATTGTGAATTGATATATTACTGTAATAGTGGTTTAAAATGTCATTTATGATAACTTCAATTGATATTGTAAATTTTATTTTCTTTTGTGAGATCAGTTACATAAATCATTTAACATCATGAGTTTGGACAAAAGTTACATCTTTTGAAATGTTATTTATAACTTTGATTATGGCTCCATAATTGGTTTTAAAGTTAGGTAAATGAGGAGAGTTGTGTTAGACATTTGACAATTAATATAAAATTTATCAAAAATTTTAGTATAAATATTAGTGTTAGGATTAAGTTGTTATACAGAAGTAACATGTATGGCATGAGTACAATGTTAAATGAGCTGAAGTCAGTTGCATCAGCACGTCATGGTAAATGATCAAGGTTTTTCACATTTAACTAGATGAATACGAGTAAAGAAGTTAGTCTTAGGATACGTATTTTGGTCTGGTTCATAGAATATTAGTATTTTAACAGAAAAATCATTGAAAGTATTGAGCATTATTTGCAGAAATATTAATATCATATGCCTTCAAGAAATAAAATAGGTTAGAATTAAGGTTAAAGAATTCGGTACTGCAGATTTCAAACATTAATACATAGGATAAGACAAAGAAAAGAATGTAGGTATAAAATTAAAAAATTAGAGATAGGATCTTGTCTTTGAAATTATTGGTTTCACAAAACATTATTAACGATTAACAATTATGGCAAGAACTTGGAAAGCTGCACTTTCTGTAACCAGAACAGAAGATAGAACACTTGGCTCCTCTCTCAACGATACTTCAGTAAGGTCATGAAACGGAGCAACCCGAGTTTTTTCTATCATTTTACATGTTAAATGAAACGGAGCAACTCGAGCTTACACCCTTTGTGCGGCCCCACATATTCTAGACATTCATGCCATAACTTCATCAATAGAATGCAAGAACATCGAATTCGTTTTTTTATTTATTCCCATTACCCAAAAGAGCAAACATATCCGTTTATTTAAAATAGATTATTCCCATAGAATTAATTTATTTTTTCTTAAATATTTAATTAATTGAATAGATTTTAGAAAAAGTCTATTAAACTTGATAGAATAATCTATTTTAAACTCACAAAGTCTATAATAATATATTAAATAAATTTTATATATAAATTATAATATATTTATAATATTATATTAAATTATTATATTTTAAAATAAATATAATTTTAAATTAAATATTTTAATTCTTTTTAGAATTAAAAATATCTTTATTACATATTTTTGAGAAAAAATATTTCAAAAATATCTATCACTACTTCATCTTATCTATATATATAATTTCATATAATTTAATATATTGCTAATTGCTTCTTTAATTTTAGTTTTTTTTTTAATTTTAACAATTTGATATGTAATCCTTTTTTCACTATAATTTTAATTAAATTATTCTCTAGATTTTTCTTTTTTATTATAATTTTGCATATTTATTTATATTAACTTTTTTTTATTTTTTTATTTTTAGGTTAACAAAATGCCTTTTTTCAATTGAAATGAATAAAAATTTTCATCTATTCGTATGAAATTCTACGCTATTAAATTATATACTAATACTCATTAAATTACATTTATTTATTTGTTTAAATTGAATATATAGTTGACAAATAAAAATATGTAATTTTATTATAAATATTAGAAGTATTTAAATTTTTTCTGACTTATTTAAAAAAAATTTAAAAAGCATATCTGTTAAATAATTTAATAATTTATTTATAAATAAATTTAATAATTTTTAAATATCTCAGTACGTAATAAGCTATTAAAACAAGCAAATAATCTAAATCAAATTCTTCAAAAAGTTAGATTAAGTTTAATAAAAAAATTATTACAAAAAATAAATTAAATTCAGACTTTAAAATTATTAAACAAGTCAAACTTGATTATATAAATTCAAGAATATATATACATATATGTGTGTATAATGCAAAGTTAGCTTATGAATTATCAAAAAAAGAAAAAGAAAAAGAAAGTGAATTTTTCAAGAGAACATAGACAAAATAATAGAATCATAGAATAGAAAGAAGGAAGTGAATTTTGCAAGGAAGTTATCAAGATGGAGAAGAGAGAGAAGAGAGCATCGATCAAAGGTGGAAAAAAAGTGCCACTTCATCGCGAGTCTCCGATTTGCAGAGTAGAACAGCAATAGAGCCGAGAGGAAGGTGTGTTGAAGAGAGAGAGAGAAAAAAAGAAACACATGAAAAAGTGAGGTTAAGCATAAAATTGAAAAGACCATTTTACCCTTAAAAAAGCCTAAGGACTACGCATTTTGGGCCGCTATGGTCGTAATGGCCGTGACAGCAAAAATCCTCGGATATGCCAGACGAAGGCCACTCCACCATACACCACCACTGTCATGCTGCTATCGCGCTATTGACAAAACTATAATCATAAGCCGAGCGGGAACAAGGACATGAGGCAGATGATTGACATCCTCGTCAAACATCGAATCACTGAAACAGGTAATACATTATTTATGCAAATAAAAAATCCTTAACCCACACCAAAAACTCAGGTAATTTAAGTATCAAAACACAAAACAAACGATTCCATGTACCACATGCAAGGGATAGTTAAAAACAGCATTAAAGTGTTCCTTCAACCGAAGGAGGGTGATCCATAACAAACCAACCAAAAGTATCTAATCTAAAAACAAACTCAACCTGAAAACTGGATCAAAGCCAGTGCCGAAAATAACAATCCATTGCCACTAAATAAACCCCAAAATAGAAATTTTAAGAAACAAGGTTGTCATTAAGTGATAATGAAGCCAGCTGATCAGCAGTACCACCAGCCTGCTGCTGCTGAGCAACATTCCTTAGGACGTCCATAGCCTCAGCCACCTTTGCTTTCAGGGCCTCTGGTGACTCAAGCAAGTGCAGAACTTCAGTCTGGTCCATCTCCAGAAGCATGCCTGTCACTTTGGCAGCATTATCCGGCTCCAACTGCTCCACAAGGGGGTAGAGATTCTCACCCAGCATCTACAAATAAACAGGTAACAAAGAATAGTTAGTTACAAAAACTAAAGCAGCAAATAATGGCTGGGGCTTATCCAAAATTCATAACAATTATTTAGCATAGTAAACATTAAAGTAAAAAGCCTACCGTCCTCTGCTGCTCTGGAGAAGCATTAGCCAGAGCTGAAGCCAAAGCTCCAATAGGAATTTGCTGGGAGAGTGATGCATCACGCAGTGGCATCCCACCAACATCATATGGAACAGAAAACATACCACCAGCAACCCCAGGCATAGGAACATCAGGAATACCCCTACCAGGAGGATAACGGTAGACACGCCCCCTAGGAAGCATCTGTCAATCACAAAATTATCAGGACAATGTTCTATATTAGATAGATGATCTACAAAAATAGGAACACAAGAATTTTGCATGAACCTGCTGTGGCATAAGTGGAACAGGCTGCTGGGACTGCTGGACTGCACCAGCACGCCTTCCACCAGGACGCTGTCCCTGTTGTCCCTGCTGAACCATTGGCATAAAGAAATTTGGCACAGGGGCCCCACCTGGCCTCATGCCAGGGACAAGTTGTTGTTGATAACCAAATCCAGGCTGACAAATTTTCAAGGTCAGACAGGAGAAATTTAAAATTAATACCATGGTACAAAATCAGAGGGATAGTATCAAGCTCCTTTCAAAACTAGTCTATGTTTAAACAGAATACAAATAGAAGAGTTTACCTGGGAAGGAATGATAGCAGGAGGGCCTTGACCGTAAAATATTTGTTGACCCATACCTGGACCACCTGGGGGATACATTGGCACACGAGGAGCAACAGACGGAGGCATTGCAACAGGCCGCATTTGAGCAAACTGAGCCTGCATAAATCATTGATCCAACATATAAACCATTTATATGTCAACATGATTCAATAGCCAAACACAATTCAGAACTAGTCTTAATTGCATTATGACAACTTGCAAGGAAAATCATCAACAACATAGCTCAACATATTGATCATATATAACAAAAAGATTGCCAGAATTTTATTAATGAAAAATAATTGAAGCAAAAAAACATGTAAACTATTATTTTAACAATGTGTATTTGGCTCCAGTTACAATCATCACATTTTAAGACAATAGAAAGAAATGACATACCTGTGTTGATAATACATAATTCTACCAACAAAGAGAACTAAAAAGAGCTCAGATTTAAAACAAGACATACCTGCAGTCTAGCTCTTCTATCTTCTTTCCGTTGGGCTAGAGTCACATACAGAGGTTTGCTTACAACCATTTTGCCATTCATCTCCAAGAGCTACCAAATAATAAAGCAAAAAAGAAGAGTCACTTTGAAAATCAAAATGCCAACAAGTACTTTCTCAAAGAAAATACCCTATGACTTACTGCTCTGGATGCCTCCTCAGGAGTCGAAAATGCAACAAATCCTGATCCACGACTTATGCCATTGGGGTCTCTCATAACCTTTCAAGTGAATAGAAAACAATATATAGACTATATACCAAAAAAACATTTAGTGTCAAGCCAATTATAATACATACCTTACAAGAGGTAATGGTACCAAAAGGGGAGAACAGCTCCTTAAGCTTATCATCACTAATGCTATCATCTAAATTTTTGATATACAAGTTTGCCCCTTGATATTTATCAGCAGTTTCTTTCATGCTCTGCTCAAAGCGAAGTTTCAATTCATGCTCCCTTTCAGATTTCTTTTGAGCTTTTCCAACATACCATTCCTTATCATCAAATTTTTTAGCATTAAGAGCCTCAACAGCCCTAGCAGCATCATCAGTATTCTCAAAATTCACAAATCCAAAACACTTTGATTTCCCATCCCCATCCCTCATCACTACAGCACTGGTAATAGTTCCAAATTCACCAAAAATGTTCTTCAATTCATCATCAGTAGTTGATTCTGACAGATTCTTAACAAAAACATTGTTAAATTTTGCCTTGTCCAAAGCACTTTCTCTATCTTGTTTGCGAAGGAAGGGTCCCACATATACTTGTTTATCATTCAAAAGCATACCATTCAGCTTCTCTATGGCTTTTTGAGCAGATTCCTCATTATCAAATTGCACAAAGCCATAGCCTTTTGATTGCCCAGACGAGTCGGTAGCTACCTTGCAAGAAAGGATATTCCCAAATGTTGAAAACGTATCATGCAATGCCTTGTGGTCAATTGCCCTGTCCAAATTCTGTAATAATCCCCAAATTCAAAAGAAAACAAATGGTAAATTCAGGACCAACTATGACATGCAATATAGAAGTTTAGCAGAAATCCATCAGTTACCAAACAATCAGGAAGGACTGAGACCATTATACCTTAATAAATATATTTCCTGCCCCACTTTTACGGATACTGGGATCACGATGAGAATACATAATACGAATGGGCTTGTTATTGAGAGGAGTGAAGTTCAGAACATCCAATGCTCTGGCAGCTGTAAACAAGCAGCAAATATGTTAGAAACAGAAAGAAGAAACTAAGTAAAAATAGTAAAACACATGGTTATTTCAACATCAACAACATAATAGAAAGCACTACACAAGCATAGCAAACCACAAGGCCCTGCAAAAGAAGATCAAGTCTATGAGTACAAAAGCTAACAAGATAAGTGAAGAATCACATCATATGAAAACATAACCCCTGATATTGAATGGTGCTGGACATTCAGCAAATAATAAGAACAGAAACAGCCTCAAAGAACATTCTAATCATTCAACTGGAGTATTATAATAATGTCAATACCCATCTTATTTTTAATGAATAGAGAAATCAAAAAACCAGTTTCTAATGACAACATATTTCTTTGATGTTACTGTTACACTTCCTGTGAATAGATAGAATACCTAATTATTATAGTTTCGGGCTATACCCAACAAACAGAAATAGACAAAAATCCCAGAAAAGGATTGTCAAATGTTTGGGAAATGTCTGAAGCATGTTAAAAAACGGTTATGGCAGCACCATGGCAGGTAACGATGGCATTTTGCAACCAATCTAGCCCTTGCTAGAGTATTGTTTAGGGCTTCTTTCTCTTGTCAAGTAAGTGGTATGTACACATGTTCCCTCACCTAGTTCATTTTCTTCCTTCTTCTCTAAAGCCAACTCTCCTTCATCTCCATCACCATTTTTTCCAAAGACATCCTTTCAGGTTGTTTACCCAGCAACTGTGAGTGGATAGCCCTGTTTTTCTGCTTCATACAGTGCTCTATTTGTCACTCACTCTGCGTCTATTTTGCTTCTTCTGGTGCTATATTCTTCAAATAGTGTTCTGTTTCTCACTAAGTCAGCATCTTCAATTTCCCTCTTATTTAGTTTTCCCCTCTCCCATTCTGTTTTACTCCCTCATTTTTTCAATTTTCCTTGTTATTCTGTTTTCTTGATTCTATTTTTCTGTCTTCACTTCCAAGTTTCCTTCTCCATTTTTATTTTTAATTCTCTGTTTTTCTGTTATAACTTCAGCTTTTTTTCTCAAAACGTTCTTTCTTTTATATGTACTTAGTTTTATATCACATTTTGCAATATATTTATATATAGACACCACACATACATATATACATATAATATTTTATATTTTATTAGGACTGCCATGCTTCCCCAATGACCCCCCATGGTATCCACCATAATTTTAGCTGTCAGCCATGACCCGCCATCCACCACTGATAACATTGGTCTAAAGGATTTAGACAATTAAAATACCATGAATTCAAGCAATAAATCAAAAGGAAGAGATCAACCAAAAAGGATGGATAAACAAAATTTCATCAACTTTTAACCTCAAAACCCAAATCCATCTCCAAGCATATCGATTAACATTCAAAACTATTCTAGTTCTCTAATTATTTATGGGGGGAGGGGAAGTCTAAGAGGCAATTGAAAATGCTTTTAATGGAAATGAAGACAAGTACAAAGAAATTTTTCAATCATTGATAGAAGATGGGAGTGTCAACTTCATCAATCTTTGCATGCAGTAGGACATTTTCTAATTCCTGAATTCTTCAATAGCAATAAAAGAATTGATCTTGATACTGAGGTGATGGAAGGACTTCTATAGTGAAAATGAAGAAGTTGTGGATATAATTTCTAATGAATTGCCAATATATAAAGAGTTGGAGGATTCTTTGGGTTGAAACCAACAAGAAGACAAAGGACCACAGTGCCTCATAATTATTAGTGTAATTATTAATTGTGACATAAATTTTACATAAATGATACACAACAAGCTGCTACATCTGCATTACAGCTGAGTGATGGAGGATGTATAGTGTACGTTCTCCATGTTTGCAAAATCTTGCAGTTAAGTATTGGACTTGACTTGTAATTCATCAAGTTGCAAGCATAATTGGAGTACTTTCAAACATGCAAGTTAATATTAACTAATACAAAGTTATAGAGTTCACATAATATTTATGAAACTGACATTCATTTTCAAGGAATAGGAGTAGGCTCAAAGATCAAAAGTTGCAAGATATGGTTTATGTTAAGTATAACCAAGCACTAAAAGATCACTTTGCCCGTTGTGATGTTATTGGTCCCATTCTTCTAGATGACATTGATGATAGTAATGAGGGGCTAGTAGGAGAAATGGGTGGAGATGGTGACGATGCTGAAAATGACTTGGTTTTTGGTGATGATAGCCTAACTTGGAGAGATATGGCTAATATAATTGGGGCTACAGACCTCTACCCTCCACTCGGCAACAAACACGAATGAGTGCAGCAGTAAAGTTTCAACTAGGCCTTCAACCTCTAGGGGAAGGGGGAATGGAAAAGGAAAGGAAGCCATTGAAGATGATGAAGCAATAGAAAATTATGAAGAATCTGAAGAAAATGCTGAGGAAGAAATCTACCACTTTAATAGAGGTTAAAGTGATAAAGAAGAAGACTTTAGTCTTGAAGAGGATGATTGATAATTCCTATGTAAGGAAAACTATTTTTTGATGTCCAATGTTTCATTACTTTAAGCCTTAGGGTAAAAGCTTAAACTTTATGATTTCCTTGACTTTTATTGCTGTATACTTTATGTTTTACTTAAGACTTATGACATTTTTTGGTAATTATGAATTTAATACGAATTCAGAATTCTATTATTTATTTCCTAAATTTTGGCTGATTTATATGTATAGCATAATTGGTCATCCCGCTGTGCACTATACAGCTATAGCGTCACAGCTATGGCGTTTTTGGGGTATACGCCGCTATCTGAGAATGATAAAATAGAAATTTATGGGGCAATGACCTCATCACAAAAAATTACAAATAATACAAAAAATAACAGACTTGCTTGAGAAGCGGCTATTGCATTGAAAGAAATTAAAATCAGAAAATATTAATTAGCATTAAAAGCATTATTAGCATATCTTTGTAAATCAAATAGGCAAAAAAATTCCCCTGCTGCTTCCATGATTTCAGTTTCCTCTTTATTCTTTAAGTTTCACAGTAACAAAGCAGTACGCAAAAAGACCAATATCTAGAACAAATCCCCCCCGCCCAGGAAATAAATGATGCGAATACAGTCATAAGTTAAACCACAATTATACACAATTAATTCCCAAAATGCACGCATGCACAAAGCAATAAACCAATTCATTCATTCAGAAAAAAATCAATCCTTTCGGCAAACCAATTTCATTTTTAGTTAATCAAGACAGGTTTTCATCAAATGGAATAAAAGGTATAGTAGAAAAACCTCAACATTCAAATGCACACACTGAGCAATAAGAAAAAAAATACACACCATCTTGCGGGTTGCTATAGTTGACATAACCGTAACCGAGCGATCTCCGACTGGTCAAGTCCCTGCAAACCCTAACGGACACAACCTGGCCCAATTGGTTGAACAAGTCATAGAGCTGCGAGTCCGTGACATTCGGGTCAAGATCTCCCACGTAAAGCGACGTCGTCACGAACTGGTTTCCACCGCCACCGGCAGCAGCCGCGGCGGCGCCAGCAGCAGGAGGAGCAGCACCACCGTTGGCACCCTGCATCGCATTCTGAGGCTGAACCTGAACCTGAGCCATCTCACCCAATAACAACAAAACCACACCAACGATAACTTAATTTATTTTTTCAAAAATAATTCTTAATTTCCCCTTTCTGATTTTTTTTTCCTTTTTTTTCTCTTCCCCCTCCTCTTGTTATTCGGAACAATAAAACCCTAGGAAGAACAGAAAACCTATCTAGACTCAGCGAATGATAGATGCAGAAGGATAACACAATTTTGGGCGAAAATTTGATTTATAATTTTTTTTAGGTGCGAAAAGCGAGGAGAGGGAAGGAAAGGTAGAAGCGGCGGCGGATGCGAAAAGGATAGGAGTGGCCGCCGGTGATAACCACGGCGGCGCGTGAGGGAAAAGAGAGAATTGAAAGAGGTGAAAAAGGAAACAGAGTAGGAGAGAGAGCAGCAGCAGATACTGCACTGAGAAAAGGAATGAGAAAGGAAGAGTGAGAGAGGTATATAGGTGAGAGATGGTGGCGGGTTTGGGTAAACCCTAGGGCGATGGAGCGATGAAATGTGAACCGTTGGATGAGAGAGGATGTGGGGCCCAAGGTAGATAAGAATTGAGAAAGGGGCAAAGAAGAAAAAATGAAAATTGGAGAACGAAAATCTTCCGGGTGAGAACGAAAAAGCGGCAGAAAATAAGGAAAAAATAAAGGAAAGTTGCGATTTACCGCGTAACTCCAGAACAGTTACACATGACAAACCCTAATTATCTTTATTAGTTCTAACACAAATAAATATGTATTAACTTTAATATTATGATTAATTTCAAGTAATTGAAAGTAATATTTATTAAAAGAATATGCATTAAATATACAATAACTATTGTTTTTAATGAAAAATAATTATTTGTAGAAGCTTAAATTAATTTAAGGATTAAAATTGTAATAAATTAATTATATTATAATAATTTTCCTTTTTTTAATTATCTTTTTTGCTATAAATTTTTTTAATTATTTAGCCAATTAAAAAAGGAAAATAATCATCTTTACTTCTTAAAAAAAAATTCGTACGGTTATTAAGAATTTTTTAAAAAATAATTAATAAATTTTTTATACATTATATGTATTTTTTTTTATTACTTAGTTTTTTAAGACATACTAGTGAAATTATGATTTTATTTTAATTTTTATATTCAATCTTTTTGTTTTGAATATTTATAATTTTATTAGATTTAAAATAAGACTCAATAAAAATTTTATTATTCAATAATTTTTATTAATTAAAAAGTTCTAATTATTTTATATAATTTTAATATATTTTTATTTTTATTTTATTTCTTTAATATATATTTTTAAAATATTTGTTAAAAATTTTCTATTCCTTTAAAATTATTTGCCAAAGGTGCAAGGACATATAATAAGAATCAATAAAATTTTAATCTTTTACCATAAATTGTAATATTTTATCTATTTTTACATATAATTGATGACTACCAAGTATATGTTTGATAGAGTTTACAGAAAAAAAAAAATTATAAAGATAGTTTGACCATAATAAGTTATTTTCAAATTATGCTTGAAAGAGTCTCTAGATAATTTGTAGTTTATAATTATTATAAGTTTTTTATATAACTTGTTAAAATATATTATTTTCAATTTATGTTAATAAAATTTATGCTTAAATTTATTACATAAATCACTATTTAAAAAATTTTATGGAATAAATATTTAATTAACTTGTATATCTAAGAGCACTCTTAATAAACTTTTCCACATGATTTATAAAACTAATTTATTTTCATAATTTTAAAGTTAAATTTATAATATAAAGATAAAAATAGATTTTTTCAATAAATTTATAATATATTGGAGCAAGATCCCATGAAAATAGCTAATAAGTTTCATATGTTATCTTTAATTTATCGTATTTAGTTTTTCAATATAATTTACTTCAACTTGTTCTTATTTCAAAAGTACTAACAACAAACACACTCTTAATTATTTATTAAATTAATTAAAATTTATAAAATATAAAAAATATATATATTAAAATAAGAATAGAAATAGTGTCACTCACATAACTTTTGAATATTTAAATAATTTTTTTGTTGAAAAGATGTGTTAAATAGCATATTATTAGCAGTTATATTATTGTGAATTATATTATATAAATTTTGAGAAAAAAATATTAAAAAAATATTTAACTATATTATGTTTATAAATACACGTGAAATTCCTTATTTAATATTAATTTATTTAATAAATATTTAATAAAATTGTTATGCAAATTCATCAAATGTGAGTATTTTTTAAAATTAAACTAGCATTTATTTTTTTAAAAAAATCAATCTTAAATTAAATTTTAATATAATTGTATTTTTAATTAAAATTTATTTTAATATAGTAATAACAATACAGTACACATAGAACTATCAAATATTATAATGCATTGATTCTTATTACTTTAATAAAAGTTTATTATGTGTCATAAAAATACATTAATTCTTTTTAAGAATCTTAATATTAAATAACATTTAATACATTGAATTAAATATGTTTTAAAAATTTTAAATCATTACTTTTTATTACGATTGAGAGTCTATTGTTTAAAAAATTAAATATTCAAAAAAATTATTATCTTTCGCGATCCACTGTATTTATATTTTATAATTAAAATTAATTAAAAATGACGTATGAATTGTATGTTTTTATTATAATAATTTTTATGTATATATTTATTAATTTTATTTTAAATTTTAGATATTAAAATTTTTATTTAATTTTTTTTATTATTTTATATAATTTTTTAGATTTTATATATACTTATTTTTATATTTATAAAATTATCTTAATTTTTTATTTTAAATTTAAAATTAGTTTTAAAAATTTTATCTCTTAAATTTATAATTATTAATACATTAATTATTAAAAAATCACTTAAATTTTTTTACAATAATTATTATTTTATATATATTCATAAAAATATAAAAAATTATTTAATATTGAATTATATATATTTATTATTAAATAAAGACTTATGCATTGCATGATTTACTAAACTATTTTTCCTGACATGTGTCGTTATATATAAGGTACATTTGACAAACTTATTGGATTGGCTAATTCTAAATTTAAGATGAAATTTTAAAAGCTAACTAATTAAATTCAAAGTATTTGACAAATTTAACTATTAAAGTAACTGGTAAATTTAGACAAATAAGAACATTATGTTTTAGTAGTCTAAAATTTAAAATAAATAAATTTTTTAAATAATTATAAATTTTAATTTTACTCTCCTTTTAAAATGTATTTATTAAAAAAATATGAAAATTGATTTATATCATTACTTTGATAATTTTATATTATAAATAAATAAAATTTAATTACTAAAGTAGTTGTAAAATTTGAACATAAAAAATTAAAGGTATTAAGTTGTAAAACTTAAAGGGATAAGAGGAAAAATTATTAAAAAATAATAAGGATAAAACTAAATAAATTACTCGTAGTTAAAAATAATGTTTAAAAAAATATAGTTAAAGTAGCAGTCAAACATGTCTTATTGACTACTTGTAGCATTTGGGTTAAAATAGCATATGTTATAATTTTTAATAAAAATTTACTATTTATTAACGAGTATACTTTAAAAATAATTCTTTTATACCTATAATTTTTTTAATTACTATATAAAAAATTGGTAAATTTTTTAATATTTTTAAGATGCTATATACATGCACTTTTTATTTAGTATTTTTTATAAAAGTTTGAAAAGATTATTAAGAATATATGGCTGTGTATATAGAAAATTTCATATTTTAATGGTATAAAAAATAAATAAAACATTTATATTTGATATATAATAAATATTTTCTATTTCTATTATTATACTTTACGTATTATCATCAATATTTATATATTTTATATTTTAAAAAATATTAAATTGCAATAAAAATAGAGCACCGAGATGGAAGGATTAATAAAAAGTACTAAATTACCACAAACGTTATTAAAATGTCAAATTTTAAAACTTATTTAAATTAAAAATCAAAAATATTTAAATGCTAACAAGAATTATTATAACATTTTTAATATTTAGATAAAGTTAACAAAAAAATATGAGTTTAGGAAAATTTTGAAAGATTTATAAAAATATTTCCTTTCATTTAAAAACTCTTAAATAAAAGTAATCAATACATCTTTCTCTAAAAATTAATGCAGAGACAAAACCTTAAATATTTTGTAAATAAATTTACTTTATAGAAACTTTTTATTTATAATTAATTTTTTTTATTTTTCATGATTTTAACAAAACAATGATTATACACAAAGAAATATGAATGTAATTGTTAAAAAATAACTTTATCATCATATACAACATATTTAACAAAATAAAATATTTAAAGTGTCTTTAATTAAACAATAATTAAATGATTCATAATAACGAACACAAAATACAGTCTAACCTACTAAGAAAATTTTTAAAAAAATCGATAAAAATAATATGCTAATTAAAATAAATTAAGCATATGGACAAAAAAAATATCTTTATCCAACTTTATAATGTTTTTCATTTGTACAGTTTGAACATCATATTTTTTTTTCATGTCATAGTGATAGGATTAGTCTCACTTTTCTTAGTAACAATGTTTTGTTTTTATAATTTTATATTTATAATTTTTATCAAATGCATCAAAATTTTGTTTTACTTTTATCAATTTTCTTTTAAAATTGTTACTCAAAGCCATTCAATCAACAACAATTTTATTTTTTCAACAGCTAATTAACTGTGTTAATAATATTTTCTATTTTTTTAATAGTTACTTGAGTCAATCTTACGTAATAAAATTGTGAAATTAGATTAAAAATTTAACAACAATAAAAGTTAGCTTTGGTAAATAATTATGATTTCTGAATATAAATTTGATATTAAATTAATTTTAACTAAATTTTTTTTAACAAGGGTCAAATATTTTTGGAAAAGAATCATTTCATCTTAAAATTATACAATTTAAGATATTTATTAAAAAATAAAAGATAAAGTTAATACTTTTTTTTTTTCTAATATTAATGTCAAATTTTAGACTCACACCACTAGATTCTTAGAATGAACAATTTTGTTGATAAAATTTAGTGTCTAAATTTTAAACTAAGGTATAAATAATTATATTGCTATTTACTCATTTTATAAGAACTAGGATAAAGTCAGGATTAGAAATTTTATTTTTCAACAAAAATGTGATTACATATCTTAATTATCCTTCCTAAAGGTGAAACTAGTTTGAAATTAAGTTAGTTAGTCTTTATTTAATAATATAATGTGTGTTTCTTAAGTTAGTATATAATCTTTGTTTATAGAAGTATGAGTAGATAAGATCTCAAATTATAAATTTATGCATGGAATGGTTCATCTAAAGTTTAAGACTTTTTTTTAAAATGCAACTCATTGTAAACTGAAAGAAATAGTGAAAGTATGGTTAGTTTATATTATTGTAAATTACATTAGTTACTGCATTTTGAATTCATTATTATCATACTTCTTATTTGTATGGTTCCTCTTTTTCTTTAGAACTTTGCATTAATCGGTGGAGTGACATCTTTTGTCACAATTCTAGTATATAGGATTAGTATGGATTTTTGTTTTTGTTTTTTTTATTTCTAGACTTTGATTTGCTTTGACTTTAATTTTGATCCTATTGGCTATTTCTTCTTATACTTTCAATATTCAATGTTGAACTTGAAAAAAGATGA